TCATACTCACTGCAGCTTTATCACTGAATACTTAGGCTTCATGAAAAATTGAAAAATGTTTAAAAAACACTTTCCTAACTGTCTGCTACTGAATGATTTAAATAGCAACCCCTTGTGTTATAGAAATAAACATATTTAAGTAAAGTCACTTCTATAAATTTTTAAATGGTTAATTGAAACATTATGTACAACACTCTGCCTGTATTATAAATGAGTGAGGTTATTTTTGCTTTTTGTTTTTAACTGTGTGGCAGTTTAAGTCACCAGAAAACTATTTGTTTTCTAGCATTTCTGCACTACATGGAATATTGATACATTTTGCTTCAAGAATGGCTATAAATTATAGCAGTCAGGGAATTAATTTTGATCACCTGTATAATCTGTCACGAACATTTGTGGATGAATGCTACATTGATTCCAAATTCAGTCTCACATATTTTAAATCTGCTCTTTTAAAAGTTTACTTAGGTTTTAAAAGGGTTTATTTCTGCTTCCGTTCACATTATCAGGATTTTGTGTCATAAGAAGCAAACTTTGGGTAGAATCCAATTGACATGCCTAGTGCTGTTGCTAGGAAGCAGAATCGGCAAAAATGGCGTCACCTCCTCTATTAGAAGATACCTTCTACTGGATCAAAAGCCCCTGGCACTTTACGCAAGGACACCAATGGTACAGAGCTTTTTTAAAAAAATAAATGTTACTTTGTTCTTGTAGTGATGAAAGCTCCAGCACCAATTGGCTAAGCTCCTGTGATGACATGGCATGTTTGTGAACATTCTAGCTTCTCAAGAAACAAAGCTGTAAAAAGTGCTTTCTCATCAATTGAATTAAAATACAAACAATTGGAATAATACAAAATGCAGTTAACAACAGCATAATAAAAATACAGAGTGATAACCAGCTGAAGTGTCCATCTTAGGAGAGTCTATCTATAACAGTATTTCTGAGACGCTTCCATCTCTATATTTTGGAAGACTGAATTATGAACCAAGATTTGCTGAGCCAGCACTAAATCATATGCAGGACTTCCCTGCTCATCATTAGCAACACTTACTGTTTTCTACCCTGATTTTTCTTTATTCTCCATTGAGTCCACTGTCATGTATAGATTTTAAAAAAACTTTCTGTCAAAATGAGAGGTGGTACTATTCCATTTGCATCTTTCAAATGTATGTCCATATTGCTTTAGGACCCACACAATCTTTTTCTTCCATGCCTTAGAATTATAGAATTGTAGAGTTGGAAGGGATCTCGAGGGTCATCTAGTCCAACCCTCTGCAATGCAGGAATCTCAACTAAAGCACCCATGACAGACGGCCAGCCAACCTCTGCTTAAAAACCTCCAAGGAAGGAGAGTCCACAACCTCCTTATGGGGCTAGGGAGCATTGGGCCTGGAGGTGGAATGTAGCCTTTCTGGCTCACAAAATTCTCCACAAGCCACACCTCCTCCGTTTCCTTCTAAGGCCACACCCCTCTCTCCAGGCCACACCCCTTCCTGGCTCTGATCTGACTATTTTTGCATGCTTGCTATGTGTCCTTGAACTATGTTAATGCTCCTTGCTTGCCTAGAGGACGTTTAAAGAGGTGCGTGTAGAAACGTCTGATTTTTGTACAGCTGGAATGTAGCCTACCATGCAAAGGGTAAGAAGCACAACCTTTGCTCCACCCACATTTTGGCTCAGGCCCCACCCACTTTTGCCTCTCCCCGCCTCCACTGGCATGTGGCCCCCAGAACGTTGCCCTTGAGGGAATGCTTCCCTTGGGCTGTAAAGGTTTTTCCACTCCTAACTGCCCTGAGATCAACAGGTGTAGGGCGGTATACAAATGTAATAAATAATAATAAATAATACCTTACCCTGACAAATATCTGTCATAAAATTTGCACTGCAGCAAAGGGAAGGGAAGTTGCCAGTTTTGTTGGGATTAAGATATTACACAGGATCCAAAGAAAGGAGTTAGCTGTATGAAGTGTAAGAAAGCCCAGAGACTTTGGTAGGTAGAGTAAGGACTGACAGAGAAAGAGGAATCCAAGGAAAGTGTACGTTAAGGAGAAGGAAGATTGAGGAAATGAGCAAAGGTGACCCAAGAACACAGGCAAAAACAGACTAAGGGGTATCTACTACCAGATTTCCACATATTGATTCGAATAAGCTGTAGGCTATCACCCCAGCTGGTGCCTCCCACCACTCCTGTACATCCAGCCCATGACATTGAATGGATTAGCTATTTTTATATATACTCTTGGCAATTAAAGGCAAATTCCCTATTTTGTTTACTGGCAGATCTATGGAGCGTATCGCAAATTACTGTATCTGGAAATGCAGCACAAGTAATTTGCTTCTGTTCTTCTCAGCTCCCCGTCCCCCCCAAATAATATTAATCCATGTTTTGTTGCTTTGATGTTTATTTATTTATAATTTTTTTTATCTTGTCTTAAACAATTTGCTGAAGGCAGCTCATAGTCCAAACATAAAACATCAATAAAACCACAGTAAAAATGAGAGTTAAAATTACAATGACATTTACAACAACCATAAAATACCAATTTAAAACAGTAGAACCACAACGCAATACAATAAAAAATGCTTGTTAGAACAAATGAGTCTTACTTGCTCCACCCGAAAAGCAGGCGAAGAGTCACAAGTACATCAACAGGGTGACAGTTCCTAAACCTTGGGACAATAAAGTAGAAGACCATGTTCTTGCCTCTCAAATTTGACAAGACATAGGACATTTGTAATTGGATTTCCTAACATTTTCATTTTTGCCTAAACGCATCCAGGGGATAATCCCAAATGAGAGCAAGCAAAGGCAGTAAAGGGAATGGGAGGTTAGCCTTACCCTGATACTACTTTCCCCATTTAAATTGCCCCAGGAAGTGTATGTGTTCTGCTGCAGGGCTAATAGCAGCATCAGATTACATGGGAACACGATATGGTGGTTAGCTCCACCCCTTTCCAACCTGTTTTCATAAAACATGGAGTCCCCCATGGATGTTTTCCAGTAAAAATTAAGATGTCATGAGATCCAATAAAGGATCTCCCCCATCTTGGCTGGCCTGTCTTCTTTGACATGTTCTGTGAACAAACACCCTTTCTCACTAGATCTTTTAAGAATGGTGCCAGGACAGAACTACAGTTAGGCACCTGCTCATGGGGCTGCCCTTGAAGATGGTCTGGAAGCTGAAGGTAAATCAGAATGTACCTTGTTGGTTTGACTGGGCTTCCGGTCCAATTCAAGGTGTTAGTACTAGCTTACTAAGCCCTAAACACCTTGAGAGCCAAGTACCTCAAAAAGTACCTCCCTCAGTATAAACAATCTCAGGCCCTATGATTGCCAGGGGAGGCCCAGTTGGTATGCCACTGCTGGACACTGACCACTTGGTTTTGACCCATAGCTGGGCCTTCATTTTATAGTTCTCCATTTTTTCCAATACATCTCCGCCACCCACGGCCCTAGAGGTACATATGTCATCCTCATTATTAACATTCAGGAGGAATTTATACCTTCCAGGCATTTTGATGACTGTTTCTGGAAACTGTGAAATTATTAGCTATAACAATATGTGACTGCTAAGAATTTTTATTCATTCATTTATTTCTTTAAAAAATTGTTTTGTTTTCCTCTTTTTCGTTGTTTGCTGTCCTGGGCTCCTTTGGGAGAGAAGGTGAGATAAAAAATGATTAAATCATTGTTGTCATCATCTTGTTCTGCTCCATTTGCTATAAAGCTGGTGCAGAAGGTCTACTGTTAATGTAAATGTGGACGTGTGGAAAAGGGGAGTGAAACCTAACCCCTCCCTTGTGTCATTTCACTGTTTTGGGGTACTTCTGAATACTTTTCTCCCACCCAGCTCATTCCCCATATTGGAGCTGGGCTGAGTGAGAACATCTTAGAGCACCTGAGCAATAGCAAGAGCAGTAACAGGCAGCAAAACAGGACCGGCCACCCCTGCCTGCTGGACCTCATGTGATTAACTGGTCTTGGATGTTTGGAATAGTAGAGACCCAGCTGTAACAAGTGTATTGGTGACATGTCATTCCAAAGTTCTGGATGATCTCATTCAATGGCTATAAATTGCACAGTATACATGTCAGTGTTTACCCGCCTGTGGAACTATGAACAATTGTCTCCCAAGATGCCCAGCAAGCATGTGCCAAGTTTACGCTCTGGGGATTTTTGCCGGAAAGAATGAAATAGAACCATTGAAGTCCTTTGAGGGCTATAGCTATTCTAAATAAGGCATCAGAACATTGCTATCAAAAGTATCAAAAGTTGTGGAGCAATCATAGGTGATTCACATTTATTCTAGGGTGCAGCTGGAGTAAGTGATTGAACACAATTAATCACTCATTAGTGAGCCTACCCAATACTTCTCTACCATCGTCATGTATGCCCAACACTGCACAGTAGAGCTCTTCCCTGTGATTTGGGCCTTTTCCAACTTGGCCAGCATTGTGATGCAACAGAACTCTCCGTGATCTGCTGTGATTAATTCACTAAGCATTTTAAGGATAAAAATGCTAACATCCTCCTTGATCTGATGTTACTGGCTTGCAGATACATAGTCCTGCTTTGTTGGATAATTTATTTGGTTGTGGCTTAAGGATTTGGACAAGATTTTTGGAGGTGTGCATGCTCGCATACCACTTCCCTGTCTAATCGATTTGGATGAAGGAATTGAGGGGGCTCTCATCAAAGTTCCATTTAGAAAATGTATCCAGCAGAACTAGCTATAATAATTTAATAAAAATTAATATATTTTCTAATACTTCTGTGTGCCCTACCTTCAGTCATTGCATTGCATAACCATGCCCAGCAGTCTAGACATTCTACATCTGAATGAATGTGCACTTGATGTAAAATATGACAGAATAGGTAGAATAAGCTTTGCAGTATTGTTGGATGTTACTCAGCTAAGCTGTTTACAATACTTTTTGCCCTTTTTCTATAGTTTGCATATAGCTAATTAAGTTTGGTTTTCTTCCCTCTCTACTAGGATTGCTGCCTTTTCCTGTCTTTCCCCCCCACAAGCCTGCATAACTGACACCTGGGGTTATGAAGTCAGTCCTAGATGGCCTCGCAGATACGACCTTCAGAACAATTACGACAGATCTTCTATACATGGGTTCCAGCGATATCCAGTACGAAGATTTCAAAAGTGACATGGCTTCCAAGTTAGGATACTACCCACAGAAATTCCCTCTGTCTTCTTTCCGAGGTGATTTCCGACCAAAAATGACTGCAGGAGAAGATGCCATCCTGGGTGGGCACCCACAGGATCAGATCAACCTTACAGATTTTTACAACAAGACCTTGACCACCTTCAAGGATAATGAGGAGAATATACAATGTGGGGATAACTTCATGGATATGGAGTGCTTTATGATTCTGAACCCTAGCCAGCAGCTGGCCATTGCAGTACTGTCCCTTACTCTGGGCACCTTCACTGTTCTGGAAAACCTTCTGGTCTTGATTGTCATCCTGCAGTCCCGAAGCCTTCGCTGCAGGCCTTCCTACCATTTCATCAGCAGCCTGGCTGTAGCTGATCTCCTGGGCAGTGTAATCTTTGTCTACAGTTTTGTTGACTTCCATGTTTTCCATCGGAAAGACAGCCCTAACGTGTTCCTGTTCAAACTGGGTGGAGTTACAGCCTCGTTCACTGCCTCGGTGGGCAGCCTTTTCCTCACCGCAATAGACAGGTATATATCTATACACAGGCCCTTATCTTATAAGAGGATTGTCACCAGATCGAAGGCTGTTGTAGCATTCTGCGTGATGTGGACCATAGCTATTGTAATAGCTGTCCTTCCTCTGCTGGGCTGGAACTGCAAAATGCTCAATTCTGTTTGTTCAGATATATTTCCTCTAATAGACGAGAACTATCTGTTGTTCTGGATTGGGGTCACCGCTGTACTCTTGCTTTTTATTGTGTATGCCTATATGTACATACTGTGGAAGGCTCATAGTCATGCTGTTAGGATGCTCCAGCGCGGCACTCAGAAGAGCATAATAATACATACTTCAGAGGATGGTAAAGTGCATCAGATTACTAGGCCGGAACAAACACGTATGGACATTAGGTTGGCCAAAACCTTGGTCCTCATTCTTGTGGTTTTGATCATCTGCTGGGGTCCTCTGCTTGCAATTATGCTCTATGATGTCTTTGGGAAGATGAACAAGCTCGTGAAGACTATCTTTGCCTTCTGCAGCATGCTCTGCCTGCTGAACTCCACCGTGAATCCCATCATCTATGCTCTCAGGAGCCAGGACCTGAGACATGCTTTCAGGAGCATGTTTCCACCTTGCAATGGGACTGCACAGCCTCTTGATAACAGCTTGGAGTCTGACTGCCAGCACAGACATGCTAACAACCCAGGTAATGTCCACAAGGCTGCTGAAAGGTGTATTAAAAACACAGTTAAGATTGCCAAAGTGACCATGTCTGTCTCCTCAGACACAACTGCAGAGGCGCTGTAAAACAAAGACCTCTCGACACCGTAAGAGAACAGATTAAGAGAAAGCAAGAGAAATTCATGGCTTCTTTCCTCCAGTGTAACCATTTTTTTAAGTTTATCATTTCTAAGTGACTGTTTTTATGAGTCTTGAGCAGTGGCCCCCTCTTCTGAGTTCTACAAATAAGAAGTCAACTGAAGTTTTTAAAAACAGATTTTTTTCCATTGGCAAAATGCTAATTTACTAATAATGGCTATTATAGTATACAAAAATATATATATCACATTAATCAGTGAGCAAGATATACACACTTTAGGAAGCTTATTGAAAACTGAAACATACAACAGTTTAATTAGAACAAAAAAGTAAATTTTGTAATCATAGGTTTTTGTTTTTTTCTAGTGTGAACTATGTTAATTGTCTATAAGTAGGTTTTCATCCTCCCCCACCCCCAAAGCGGCAGTACTGGATTGTAAGAAATTTTGTACCACGTCTTGTGAGATGTATGATGTTTTACTGTATGTTACTGATATTTGTCTAACCAAAGTGATTAGGTAGACTTGTGTGGATGTAATGTAAAGTATGTGGTGATGTAACCCCTCCCCACCCCCCCACTCCCCACCATGAAAATACTTCCTGTATTTTGAAGAATTCCTATAAGGTATTTTGAAATTTTTACATTCTTAGTGGTTTTTAGTGAACTTAAAAGGAAAGGCTTTGCATTTCTTCTGCTCACATTTGAAATCCCTATTAAGTTTTTTAAAACAAACAAACATGTAAATATGGAAATAACAGAAACAAAGGAACATAGAATACTTTTGGGAAAAAGGAAAAATACACTGGCTCAGACTGAAAAAGATGTGTGTGTGTCTCTCCCCTCCCCTCAAAAAAATGCCATCTTTTGTCTATAAGACTGTTGGCTTTTTATTGGAAATTGTATGAATGCCAACATGACCCAAAAGAAAGTTATTAGGCAGTGATGTCTTTAATAGGCAACTGCTTTTTCATTGGTCTGTTGCTGGCATTGGATTTGCGAAAACAACATGTGTTTGGTTCCATGTACAAAGTTCAATCACTGTGACGTATACTTGAAAATGTGTTTCATTCCTATGTCCCAGGTTTAAATAGATTTCAAACCTGAAATGCCAAAACATCAGTCTTCAGTAACAAGAGGATAAAGTGTTAGTATTAGATTTAAAAAATGAATGTGTATATATAATTATTTAATATCTATGTAGCTGTGTGTGTCGTGTACGTATTCTAAATAACCGTGGTTACATTAATATTACTAAGATAAGAAACTGTGACCAAATGTTTTCTCTGTACTCCTTACTGCATTCTTTGCACATGAATTCTGTTTCTAAAAGTGAGTTCTTCCAACCAATCAGCAATGAGCTTGCAGGATCTATTGAGCACACTTGTAAAATCATACTGAAAACAACAACCCAATATGATAACTGAAGAGAAGTATTTTAATATATGTAGCTGGCAGCCTGATTAAGATGGCAGAAATACTGTAGCGCTTAAAAACTCGACTGGCTTAATGTGAATTCGGCCACAATAATGAGAGGAATGATTGGAGGAAGCCGAGTGTCTCTGTGAACAAATGCAAGGAAATTTAAAACAGTCATCCACTCGTGTCAGAATCAAGCCCCCACTGCAACAAAATTAAGAACCCTCTCAAATTGGATGCTCCACATTTGTAGCTTCTTCTTCTTTTGCCAGAACTAAGAATGCAGGAGACAAAAATTGAAATGCCAACCATCTGAAAGGTAGCAACCTTAAATCACATTTATAGTAAGATAGTTGGCCTCCTGTTGCTAAAAGAAGGTTACTCTGATCCAGCAAAGGCAGCTCAAACAAAGAAGCAGACTGCTATATTAAGATCCCTCTTTTTGATCAGGTCCTACGTGTATGGGGACGGACGGACTAAACGTGGGCAGTTTTCTTTTTTAGATCCTTGCAACTTGCACCAAGGATTGTGTGTGGGGTTCCAGTTGCTGGGCTGCAACTCGTAGCTTGCGTTCCAAGCACCAGATGGACAGCATTGTGTGAATCTAGCGCTGTCACACATCTGCGTGAAGGCAGATCACGAAGAGCTGTGGGGGCCAGTCAACAGTAGATAAAATGGACACTGAAAGAATTAAAAACTGGGAACAGGCAAACTTAATGCCATCGTCTAGCAGAATGTAAAGTGAAACTAAAGCACTAGCTAGAATGTAGCCTGCCGAGAACTAAAGATCCTGAGTAACATGAGTTTGGAAGCTGACTAGGGCAAATCGTTTGCTTTTAGAATCCATACGAGTTGATCCTTTGATGCTCAAGAGAGGAAAGGCAACCCTATTCAGGGTTGGGAGCTGAGCAATTTATCAAAGAGCAGTTCTGATATGAAAAACTTCTCCATCTCCAGTCCTCTTCCTCCCTGCTCCACATCTGAAGAGTTTTACTAGAATACGGCTCCTTTCGGAAGGAGAGTATATGGGGAAAGCCTGCCTATACTAGATCTCAGTATGATTTTGATGTAAGATGGAGAAGGAGGTGCCAGAACAAGTTTCAGGAGCATCTAGCAATGAAAGCAAGGAAACACCTCCTCACTCACAACTTGGGAGTTCTTTAGTAACATTGTACAGTAGGGAATTCCTAGCCTGCGGTGGCTCAGTGATTCTTGGAAGCCCCAATCTATCAGAAAGAAGGAAGCACGGGACTATAGAACAGGGGGAGAGATACGAGTTTGTGGCATGCTGCTTTTAAGTTCTGTGACTAAAGGGGATCTAGCAAAGAAGAGAGCTATCATTCCTGGGTGAAGTGCTTGACATTTTACCACTGCTCACACTAGTTCTTTTCCAGAAATGGAAGTGTCATAAAAAGTGTTACACCAGAAATGGCTCTGCCACCTCTATGGAGTGGGCAACCTTTTTCATCTGAAGTGCCACAGTCCTTTCTGGACAATCTAGGGGCCACAGCAGTGGAGGTTTTAACATGTTCATTGGTTCAGCATTGTAAGTTAGGTGGTCACCTACAGAACGAATTCTATTTGATTTGATGTTTGTATTCTTATCCAGCAACAGTGTTGAGCTCAAAACAGCTCACAATAATCGCAGTAGCATTAAAAAGCAACAGGCATTGCAATCATTATAATATCAAACAGAGTAGCAAACCAGAATTAACAAATTCATCAAAACAGTCAATGCAATTCAATGGAGGCATGGTAATTCAAAATATTGGAAAGAGCTTCTGGGCCTTGTGCAATAAAACAATTCCATCCAGGGGAACAGCTTGCCAAAACTACCAGGCATGTTGCTAAAAGGCAAGATGATGATAAAGATAAAAATGCAAACCTTATTTGTTCATAACTATGTCAAAATACTGTACAAAATGTTGGACTTGGTGTAGAACAGATCTGTTCTATTCTACGCATGTTCCTGAGAGGTGTAGCTTGGCAATCGAAAGGGACTGGATTATTTCTGGTTTGCTTCAAGACATGCACAAGAGGGATATGCCATGACTTCTGCCAAGAGGGCAGCTGTGCATTTGTTACTTATTTCATTTGCAGACCTGCCCCCTCCACTGAAGCAAATTCGCAAGTCCTTGCAAGCAAGCATCCTCCATATGTGCATTGAAACTTCCCACACACACACTTGAAATAGCACACTTGATCAGGGTGTGTAACTTTCAGTAGCGGTGGAAAACTTTTATCGTCCTCTATTTAAAAAAACAGGAAAGGAAAGGAAAAGAAAAGATAATTCTGGTAACTACTTGGGTACCTCCAGATGATGTTTACTGACTATTCTGAGCTCAGTGCAGGCCACCATGGATGCAGCACATGATCAGAGGTTTCTCTGGGGCATAAGCCTCATTTCCCCCTCCCCTGCAGCATGTACATTCAAGCAGTCCCATGTGGCAGGCCTTTCTGTGGAATTGGAGACTTGTGCTATCTTTCCATATCCCTATACAGCACCTTGTCTTTCTGATTTCTGATTGTCTTTCTGAATGTGAGGGCCCTCCCCCGTAATAGCATAGCCCATTCAATTGCTTGTGTGTACATACTGAAGGGGGAGAGAAAATAGACTCCTGTGCTGTAGGAATTCTTCTGTGTGCAGGTGCTGGGTCTATGGTGGGCTGTAGTTTGAAACTACTTTCTTCCTTTGACAATACATCTTCAATCTGAAACAGTTTGGGAGGAAAGAAAACCCAGAGGAGGGGGGGGGAAGATAACTTTAAGAGCCATTTTTGAAACTATTCTTGTGGTTTTAATGCACACTGTATGGGTTTCTGTTTATGTACAAGATCTTAACTTCTATGTAATTAAAAAAACAAACTACGGGACAAAGGGGCTGTCTTGGCACTAAACATGGTGCTTCTTGATATAATAAGAAACAACATTCTGTGAAATAGTATGTATTCATCAGTATATTTCATTCCCATATGTGAGTTTAAAGAAAAGTGCTTCTAGCTGTGTGTATTGTCCTAACAACATTTTTCAACCGAGCTGGTGGTGATGTCCCTACAAAATGAGCGCAAAAATGCAACTGCTGCTAGATACGCTGCATAAATTAGCTGCACTTAAGCCATGTTTTAGAAAAGTATTTCTTAAGGCTGGGAAGCTGCTTAGGGAAGGAAAGTTCATTCAGCCAAGGGAAGGTATAAACTCCACTCTGATTCCCCCCAGTGGGTGCCAGGAAACAAGCTAATCAAATGCCACCCTCTCCCAACCGACACATTATTATTTCTATCTATTGGAACTAAAAGTATGTAGAGACACTTCTGTGACTTCTGGGGACGGGTGCGACACCTTTTATTATGGCGAGTGTTTTTAAAACAATTCTGCATCACTGTTATCTGGGACCCTTAAAGCATATTGTGGCCAGTATGTCCTTTTGGGGGGAAATATATATTTTAAAGTATCTTTCTAGGCTGAGAAAAGCAAGCATTGCCGATGGAATGGTCAGAGTTCTGTGCACATTCCAGGGGGTACACAGAGCTCTTATGCAAAGAGGATTCTATTCCAGTGCAGGGTGCTTCTGTACATGCATGCCTCCACGTCTATGTCTGGAAGTACTCATGTACATGAAGAATCATCACAGGTGATGGTGGTGTTTTTCCTAATCCTACTTGGGGAGATACAATACCTGTGACCCTTGGCACAGAGGTTTCATTGAGCAACAGCCTTTCGCTATATATACCTAAGTTCAGCAACAACCAGAAAGCAGTAGATGAGTGCCACCTCTGAATGGCAACCAGGAGGGGAAGGAGCCCTGTAGCTTTTGCATGGTGTGTCTGGTGGAGGCAGCTGAGCCATGTGGAGGAGCTCCACATGGTTAGAAGTGCCCTGTAAGTGCCATTGATGACATTGGCTCATAGCTGTGCCTGGCACTGCTGGCCATTTGCCAGCAGCCATCTGCATGGTGCTGTGCAAGCTACCCCTTCCCTCAACTGCCTTCAGTAGATACCCAGAGCATGACACCCCTGCTCGTCTTGGTCACTGGCTGCAATTTTCACAGCTCACCACTGCCTAAATCAAGGGTAGGAATTGGCCCTAGCCAGCATGGCCAACAACATCTGTTGGAGCCACTGGTTCCCACCTGGCCTAAATAGATAAATTTTGAATATGGGTAATCTCAGCCAATCAGATGCTCAGCACAAGCAACAGGGATGAGCAACACCTGTTAAGCCCTGCTTGTAACTTCTAGAGACATCTAGCTGGTCTCCTGCTGGAGACAGAGCAATAGACTCCATGGGTTTTAGTCTGAGCCACTAAAGCAATTGCCCTATTCTTAGGCAGCATGGACAAGCAGTTTTTGTCATTGAGGAAAGCTTATTTTGAAAATAAAGCTTCCTTTAGATCAGGGATGAGGAACCTACAGCCTCCCAGCTGCTGTTGGAGTCCTTTCAGTCCTGGCCATCATGCCCAGTGGTCAGAGATGATGGGATCTGTTGTACAGCAGTATTTGAAAGGGTCATAGATTCCCACCCTTGCTGCAGATAATGCCATTTTCAATTGTTCACACCCCCTTGGGAATAGCCTGGCAGCTTGTCCTCACACTGTTTCACTACTCACATACCCACTCTCATGAAATGAGTAGCTCTGTGGTTTAACAGTTCTATGTATTTATTAACTTTAAATGTTGTGTATATCTGTACCAGAGACCATTTGTATTATGTGCATATTAGATTCTCAGCAGTCTTGATGTATATTTGTATATTACCTCCTCAATGCCGTGCAATCACTTATGGATTTCTTTTTCTTGCACTGATTAAAATGCCTCTTGTATGATAAATAAATCCTTTCTTGTGGTGATATAGGGTTGAATGTATGTAAATAAAATTAAAAACATTTAAAATGTCAGCTATACAAGCAGTGGCCTAAAAAAATAATAATAATCAAGTCTGTACTTGTAGAATAGAACAATTAAGTTGCTGTGACATCTCAAAATGTTCCAGGGATGCAATGTCGGAGAAAGGAAAGTCTTTCCTTGTGATAATATGAAATTGCAAAATTGGATTTCTGTAGCTTTTTATTTTTATTGTTTCCGAGTGGAGAGCCTATCTCTTTTAATGTCTGTAAATCTAACATTATTACTTTTCACTTTGAAGTATATTGTATTGTTAGATGTTTGTTTGAGCTGGTAACATCCTTGCAACTGCTGCAATGTTTCTGTTGGCAACTTGTATATTACTTTGTACACAAGTGTACTGGTAAGACTGTCATTAAAAGTAGCTTCTACCATTAAACTACCTATAGCGGAATAGTACTTCTGTAATATTACCAATGTATTACTACCATACCATATTTTATTTCTTCAGTGTAATTAAACTGTTATTTATTCAAAGTAAAATTATGATTATTTGAATCTGAAACTATGAAATTGTCATGTGGTGTCCCCGGGAGATTCCTTTTTAGATCTCATGTCCAATTTTTCTACTTCCATAACATTTTTCAAACCTCACAGATTTTTAAACGCCTGCCCAGATTTCTGAATTCTCATTCCACCAGCATTTCTTTAGGGTATCTTGTGGTATCATGGAGGCAAGATAACAATATCATTAAGAAAAACAAAGCTAGACTTTCTGCCCTTCTCCTGGTTTTAGGGATGTGTAAACCCTTTTCATTTTTTCTATAGCTATTTCAACTTCCCCTAAACTGAGACTGTGTGCTTATAGGACAAATCTACAAAGCAGGCACACAGTTTTCACATGGCTAGGATTGTCAAAATGGTAATTACTCCTCATGTTAAGTCTGGATCTGAGCATTATTCCACATTTATTTTAAAGGCACAGAGACTTGGCTTAATTGTGCATGGTTCCCAACTGAAAGACACAAAGATGAGTGATCCATTGTGTTTCCATCTGGTCTAAGTGGTACTCATCACATTCTCCATTCAAAGCAAAGGCCAGCTAGCTATTTTCTATCCAGCCAGTATAATTACAGCTCATCATAGTTCCAACTCAATTGCTAACCAGCTTGATATTGCTTCCCTGCTCTGTGCAATTGGCTTAATTACACAAAATCTTGCACAATACAACACAATCTTGGGCTGCTGCTGTTGCAGATCTGAGATAACTGGTTGGAAACCTGTTGCTACTTTAGTGCCATTCATCCTGGGAATGTTTGCAGCAACCTTACTTAGTTTGAAAAGCCCCATGGTTTTTTTGACTGTTGACTTTCAGACTTGTATGTTAATACATAATTGTAGAGTTGGGAGGGACCGTGAGGATCATGGGGCTCGGACCCACAACCCTGAGATTTAAGAGTCTCATGCTCTACCGACTGAGTTACAAAGGTTCCTCCACCTTGGAAAATGGAAGGATATGTATGTAGGCAAGTTAATTATAATGTGCATGAAAAAGCCATTTTTTTCTCCCTCAGCAAGAGCAATAGAAGAAACATGTCCCAAAATAAGAACAAATGGCATTTCGACACTAAAATGCAGTATCAGGCAAAGGTCTCTTTGGCCAGGGACTCTAGCTAGTCCATAAGCATCTCCTGCTTGACTCGGGGAAACTACAGCACAGTAATAAATGCATTGAATCCATAGAGACACATGCCAGCACCAGGGGAGACGCACTGCTTAGAATACTTAAGTGGTACGCTATACTTCAGGGGTTCCCAATTAGTTAAGTACAGCAGACCCTCTATTTTTCAAAAGCCAAGCCATGGACCCCTACTTTTGAAATTTCTGATATCTCTATGGTAGTTTTGTTATGTGAATGGCACCACAGACTCCCTGGGTGGGTTGTGCGGACCCCCAATTGTGTTCTATATGCTGCAGTTTAATACCATAGCCAAGTCCTTGCATGAGAGCTCTGTTCAGCAATTAGTAGAGACTTAATGGCTCTGGTTAGTCATTATCAGCTTATACAAAGTTTTTGGTGGAAAAGCATTGGTCTTTTTCAAATTACCTTTTTTGTGGAGTCTCCCCAATACCCATGATATCTAGGACTAAATGCGAATGATGAAGGAAGATAGCAACATACTGTAGCAAGAAAGCTTGTGACAACATCTATCCAACCAGCACCTAGTATTTGATTTGCAAATTGTGCCTCCTGAGCCACATTAACATGTTTAATCAGGACAGGTCATTCATGTAATTCGTTGGAGGACAATCTTATGAAATGGACCGGCCCACAAATCAGATTATCAGTTGACACGGCTGCCTTTGATCAAGTAGCATAGTCTGAGCACTTCAATAGCTACCCTATAAGGCAAAATATTACTGTGGAATAGGCCCTTGATGTTGGCATGAATTAAAGCAATATTCTAAAACGCCATATTAAAGCAAAGTTTTAAAATTCACTGACCAGTCATATGAGGAAATGATCTTTTACAAGCTTGCTGCATTACATCTTCCAAGTGAGAGAGAATGTGCAATGGCAGATGCAGGAAATGTCACAAATAAAATGTTAAGCAAGAAGATAGTGAGCCAGCTATTTTTTTCCTGACATATGTACTACACACATTTCTGGACCGAGAGTGTTTTGTACAGGAGAATATACATAATATTCAAAAAATGCAACTCTGCTCTCTTTGATCTTGTGGATTCTGGAGTAACCCATGTGGCAATCTGCCACTTGGGCATCAGCACTGAATATTCAAGTGCATTTGTAAGTTCATTTGTTGGCAACTTACGGCACTGGTCATGCTACATTGGGGTGGGGGGTGGGGAAATGATAAGACAACTGAGCATAGCTCAGTGTAGATCACGTGCTTTGCATCCAGAAGGTCTCAGGTTTTAACACGCATCTCTTATTAAAAGGAACAAGTAGCAGATGAAAGACTTTTAGCCTGAGACCTTGAAGAGCCACTTCCAGGCAAA